GTTCTAATTGTGATTTCTCTAATTTTGCATCTCACTTACAAGCGAATGCCATCGTTTAAGGTTCCAATAGAAAGAAGGACGAAAGTCAGTTGGGGGTAACTCAGTCCACCCAAGAGCATTGAATCATGAGGTTATCAACTTAGATATTCCAGGTTAGACTCCCACGACGACATTTGGTATGAGCTCAATGGTTGCATTTGGCAACTCGCTAATGCACTGATAGGTTACCACATGAATTTGACAAGGTGCACAAACTGACTGGCCCAAACACTATTGGAATAAATTTGAAGAAAAAACTCTAAATGGTGTGGTCTTCTATCTAATTTATTGGGTTTAACTTCAACTACAATACAACAACTTGGGCTCAGACCCAAGCAAGGTGGAGTGAGGGCTTGAGGCTAGATGAATCCCAACTTCTTCTTTAAACTCATTTCAAATTATCAGCATACTACATAGAATAAAAGTGAAATGTAAGTTCTTTATATTTAGAACTTCTATACATTATTGATAAAGGAATATACCAAGGGGCGTTAGAGGAAGCCTTACTATAATAAGACATTAAATCTTATCTAAACTACTTGCTCCAGGCCCCAGGGTACTCAGAGACTCCAAAGATGCCAAATAAATATTGTTGAACCTTCATAACAGATCATTGTCACACCATAAATTATTCAGCCTTCATACAACAAAACTACACCTCGACTCCATATTTTGGGGTCAGCTATATGAATCTTTGGCATGCTTGACAAACAGAAGTTAGAGCATTAATCTCACCTCTGTAGATTGGTGACAATATAAAGGCTCCCTAAGGTAGATGCCTCGAGACGTAGCAGCTGCAAAAATAGCATTTCTGATCAGAATGAACACATCTTTTGATCAGACCAGAAATAATGGTGATAACTGCTATATTACCCCAAAGAACCAAAAAGACAACAGTTATTCATCTTTGATAAACCTCCTTTTTGATCCGGAATTCACCATTTGTAAAAGCTTAGGAGAAATGGTTTGCGGCATCATGAAGGGTTACAAAGAAATACAACATGCACGAAACACAGATATGAGCACACACACACATACATACACGAAGTTGGTTTGCTTGTGATGCCAGCCTGCTTAATTTTTACTTGATACCACACACAGGGAAGATTTTGCACCTTTTGCATGTAATCATAAGCCCTGCAACAATGTTCAAGATATTAATCATAAACGGATCAATGGTCATGCTAAAGATCAAAAGTCATAAGGAAGCAGTAAACCTAACTTGTCAACTTGCATGAGTCCCTGTCCAGCGGTTAATTTTTCTTCTGGTAAAGCACCTATGGGTATAGATGTATTTTCAAGAGCCTTCCGTACAGTGTATGGACTAACAGGAATACCTTCCGCCTGCAGGTCACAGACTTGCAGTCAAAAAGAAAACAAAAGACACCGTATCAAAGGTCCAAAACATTTGAATTACCTTCATAGCACTGACGATTAAAGCCACACCTCCACAAGCAGAAGGAGATGACATTGATGTTCCGTTCATTAACATGCGTCTTTGAAGGGTCCATGTGGGCACAGGGGCCACCGCACCACCAGGGGCACTTATGGAGACACCAAGATCACCATCCACAGTGGGTCCCCGACTAGACCTGCGAACTCTTGGATCTAATTTTGTTCTCCACACTCTAACTAGGACAGAGGCACAAAGTATCCTAAAAGTTGTACATACCAGGTGTATTCAAGGCCTTCAGTAGGTGGCTCAACTAATAAGTGAGCACCAGCAGCCATAGCTGGAGAAACATATGCACCTACTCCAATTATGCTTGAACTGGTGCCACCAGGTGCACCCACAGTAGTCAAAGCTGGCCCATTATTGCCAGCACTACTGACAAATATTAGGCGGTGTTTGTTGACCACCTAAAATATTTCACCAGATGGTCAACCGATTAACAGATTTCCCATGCACTGAACTATCACAAAGTGATCATACAAAGGCAATGAACATTACCTCATTGACAAGGTCAACAAAGCGACCATAGTCTGGCAGCAGTGTAGGTTCTCCGTAACTCATATTGATGAGATCACATTTATGCTGTCCACAAAATAGAAGTATGCACATCTCAACAATGATTAAAAACCAACATAGGAACTACCCGCAAGCCACAGTTTTTTATTGTCACTACACATCTATTCAGAGCATTTTAAGTCGTCACTTGACAAGAATGAAAACCGCGGAGGTAATGTAGTCACGTGACACTCACCGAGGTTGTTAGACGTCAGAGAATAGGATATTATAAGACTGACATCAACTTGCATGTCTATACCAAGCATACAGGCTTTTTAGCCCAAAGTACTAGCCTTTACAGCAAGACTTAGCAATTCGCATCTTAGTCAATCGGATAGTCCACTGTAAAAATATTTCTACTAAAACCTGACTTACTTAACCCACAAACCCGGCCCACAGTTTAAAGCCAGGGACAAGCTCACCACTGTAGCAAGAATTTGGGTTGTGCGTTGGTTCGACAATATCCGAATTCCAAGCCAAAAGTTATTCCAGCTGAAAACCAGTTTTGAGACTTGAACAGCTGTACCAATCTGCCCACAAATGGTTATTTGAGCATTTAGAAAAATTATATCCTTCATGAGCAGTGAATTCGACCACTTCTCTCACAAACCCTTCTTTCCTTACAAAAATAAGTAGGCATCTGGCTATAGATCCCAAATATTTGTCACTTTTGTTGGAATTGTGTTTGGTTGTACTTTTTGCAAAGGAAATTTGAAATATTGTTCATGCTTGAATGTACTTAAATACAACTTCATAAGTGAAAAGTAAGTTGGACAAGGTTACAAGTTGTTCCCAAATTTGAAATACAACTTCAAGTTGGATTTGAAATTTTCGCAGCCAAACTAGTATTCACTATAAAGTGAAAAAAGAAGGGTCAAACGGGCTCTTAATTTATTCATGATATGTTCCTATCACCTAAGAACGAAATAAACTCACAATCTCAATTCACTTCTTCTCACAAATAACTTCCAAATTCAACTATCTATTATATCTTAACTCTCTCACATACTCAGCTTCTCTCTTTCAATTTCAATTTATATGGCTATCAATCGATTATATCACATAAGCTCCGGAGATCAAAACGTTCTTCTGAATCTCAAAGTTGAGCGGTTGAATAAATATCAACATTATTGTATATTGGATGTTTAATAAAATTAAATTCCAATTTGACTGTTAAAGCACCAAATTCATACATGTTTGGAATTTTTTAATTTTCTTTAAATTGTGTGCTTCACTTCACTTTATGTTTTTTGCTTCAAGCCCATGTACTTGTCGGTTTTTGTGTTTGTTGCTTGCAGAGAAACAAGAAGGACGTAAATCACCTCTAGACCAATTGTAAAGTAACCTCTAGACTGTGGTAGCTGATGCCAAAACTGCTCCTATAAGTTATACCACGCCAAATACCAATGAAAGACTTCCTATGGTGCTGGAGAATAAGAGGCAAAAGAGCCAAAGGAAACATAGCATGACATTCCACACGACAAGATGTATGTGGACACTATGGAGTTAAGAAATTCTGAATCTAAAGGCAAAGAGAAAATCAATTAGACAATTGTGTCGAACTATAGTATTTTGATTTTATTCTTGAGTGGAAAAGGCACGTCTCCCTACTTGTATAGATGATCGGTTGAAGTTTGGTGAAAGGGACTCTTTCATATGCCTCTTCTATACTAGGCAATTTTATTTTTTGACCAGTCTTATATGCTAGTCATCATTTGGCAATAAAATAAGTTCATTTAAATAAAAATAATGGCCAAATCTATAAATCAGCCAAAAGATTTTCAGGCAACTAGTTTCATTTAAACACAGCAAACTCTATCCAGAGCTCAGAAGATAAAACCTGAAAGTTCACTGCAGATTTTTTTCCATTTGATGTCAATTGGAACATGGATTGATCTGTTAGCTCCCTGAGTAATTAAGAGGAGCCCAACTCAGGCTGCCTGACAACAATTAAACTTTTGAAAAAAAAAATAGCATTTCAAGGGGGCATCTCGCTAGAATTACATGATACCAACCCTGAACTAAACACACGCCCCATTCTTTTGCATATAGGTATGCATCATGCAATTGCTCATCTGATGCCCTATCAGAGATTATCCTCATAACTGATATAAAACCTCAGAAATCTGAAACAAAAAAGTAACTCTATTGTAGGAAGACAACCACTGTTGGGTAATATTAACCACCTATGACCTACCCTGCATCTACATACTAAGAGATTAGAGAGCGAAGGTAAGGAATGGGATTTACTCAGCAAACTGGAGTTGACACGCTAATCTAGCAATACGGCTAACCAGGTCCTTATGATTGTAAAAGATACTGTGCATGCAAGACCTTTAAGAAGATTATTCACCTATTAATTCTTTAAAGTGAGTATGGAAGTTCAGAAAATTACACCATCCATCCAAGACAGAAAAATAAATATAAGTATTTTGTGACAAAGACAATTGATCTGTCAGATATACACAACAGAATTATATTGCTGGTATGATCCTCAATTTCAATCAAACCTAAATTTGCAGCAATACAATATTAAATACAGTCAGCACATCTTTTTATACAAGTTTCTGCACCCAAAGTGCATGTTTATTCATAGCTAAACAGTTATTATTGTGAAACGTGTGGAGAAACACCTCAAAGATATAAAGCTAGAGCACAGTAACAACCAAAGGAAGGAGATAACAATAGTCAACTCCTCATTACTATGTGGTGATTCCTTTAGTTTAGGTACTTTTGACGACCCCCAAAAGTAAAGAACCAAATACTTAGCTAGCGTTTGGCCATAGATGCCAAATATTTTTGGCAAGTCACTCTTAGCTGAAATTTCACCATGTGTTAGATCATAGTTTTTGGTGGGCGATGTTTGATATTTTAAAGAAATATGATTTATACTCATGAGTTTTAAAAACTATCATTTTATAATGAACATGTTCTGTGATATAAATTGGAACTCATAGATTATAAGTTCCAACCTGCTTATAAACAATTTCACAGATCAGTGTAGGAGCTACTGCTGGTTTCTCAAATCACGAGGGAGCATACAATATCTTTATATTTACCACAAACAAATCATAAGTTCAGTGAGTGCCTTCATGGTGCTTTTATCAAGCTTGTCAAGTTGGGATTAACAAATGAAGGTGTTTTTATAGAACTTCCCAAAAAAGAGAATTTGGCCCAAAACTAGTTTTTTCTAGTTTTTGAGAATTTGGGTTTTTTACGAAAATATTTGCCAAAAAAATGACAATTTGTATGGCCAAACACTTTTTGCCAAGTTTTTTCCCAAAATACTTCTACTTTTTATGGTCAAACAGGTCCTTAATCAAATATTGCATAGAAACAACACCTAATGTATCAACACCTGCATGCCAAAAGCTCTAAACCTAGAAAAAGAGAAGCATGAAGGAGTCGTGGAGACTGGAGAGACTGCATAGATGAAAAAGAAAAAAAAAATTAATTACCAAAACAAATATTGGATTTGTTTGATAAATGGCGAAGAAGGTAATGATCAAGTTTCTAAGTTTCTACAATTAAAAGATAACACCCACACAGAATTTAAAGCAGGGATCACTGGAAATTTAAGAACTACCATTGCAGGAAGAAGAGAAGCAAGAAAAGGCCATGGAAGAGATGATGACCTAATAGTAAAAATGATATAATGATGAATAGGCCCTACCTCTACAGCTGCAATCAAGGCCCTAGTCAAACCAGTTCCTGTTTCCATAGAACCCAACCGTGAATCCCCAATTTTACAAGACACAATTTGTGCTCCAGGTGCAACTCCATTTAGTAAAGGTTCCTTCAAAAAGAACAAGCATTACATAAACACATCTTAATATAGCATCAGGTTAGTTAAATCTAGTGCTAGACAAGCACCAGTGCAATGGAAATGCTGCAAACAGAAATATTATTCTACCTCCGGGTGGAAGGCAGCGGCAATACCAGCAACGTGTGTGGCATGTGGGGAACTATCTGTCACGATACTTAAAATATTCCCTTCATTGTAGACATTTAGCACACATGTACAGGCATCCAATTTACTAAAAACTCCATGCTTTTGTTCAAGCCTACAAAGTCAGTAGCTCAAACAATGAAACTCCAAACAGTAAAAGCAGAATATATTGATTACTACTGTTTCTAGCAGCCATGCCATACCTGTAATTAGTTAAAGGAACAAAATCTGCAAGCTTTCCACATCCTGATTCATCCTCAAGACTCTGTGTGTCCAAAGCAGCTCTCCAAAGCTCCCCATCATGCCATACGACAGCATCAATAACTGGTCCCTTGTCATCGTAGCTCTATGACAGATATCAGATTTAGCAATGGAAACCGAGAATACAACTTTTTGGTTAAGGACTTGGAAATGAATCAGTACAAAATGGTACCGACATCAGCTTGCTTGCGCAGAAGATCAACTCTATTCTGGAGGTCTTCACGGACCATTTTCAAGTGCGCACCTTCGACTTTTGTGTGCTTCTGCAGAATTGGTAATATTTGTTCAGGCGAAGTTACATCAAAGTAAAACTAGATAACTAGAACAACAAACTCGAAAAAACCAGAGCATTCCCCGCATATGTAAAGCAATGGCTAATGAGTTGGAACATTTTAGATAAACCGGTGGACTTTAAACCAACGTTTATTAACTTATGCAATTGAGTACTCACAGACGTATGAGCCAAGGAATTAATGATAAATTGCTTTCACGAGAACTCTGATTAGATATAATTAATAGCACCGCATTTACCTTTTACAAAATGAACACAATGAGTAAGTACTCATAATAAACAGCTAATTAGAATGTCATGCGATATTTTAAAGCAATAAAGATCCTTGATTCTTTTTCTAACACAATACATTAAGATCAAAACCCTTCTCTAGTAGATCAAAACCCTTTTCTAGTACGATATATTTAGATCAAAACCCTATCAAATTAATCCAACTGCATAACACCACCTCATCTGATTAGTTTCACTGAGCAATCTAATCAGCTCTCGTAATAGTCAAAATGCTCCTATTTCATCTGTTAAGCTTTATGTTAAGATGGAAAGCATAACCAACTTCACATTAGACCTCAACTAGGCCGAATCAAAAAAAAATTAGGCTAGGTTGTCAACTGTCACTATGGCTGAATCTGGTATCTGTGCAAATTAAGGTTCAAAACCATAGTTGTACGCCTTTACCTTTAAGATTTGGTGAACTTGGTTGCATTTTGAACATTTATAAAATTCATGTCAATTGTTTTAGTAGATCTTTGAAACACTTGGTGCCGAAATATGTGATCTCTGGCATGGGCACCTAAGTCACATGGTTTATTTTCTTTCTTAAGGTTTCTTTGAGAATTAACCTTCATAAGTTACAATAGATAAATGGCTAACTTTTCTCTCTTTCTTTTCAGTATCGTGAGTTGACACGCAGACATGGCAAGAATTTTGTGTCTTGAGACTGTGAGTCTCATCTCTAGCATTAATTGGTTAGCATTCGACATGCTCTGATCATAGAAAAAGGATACAACCACGACATTTGGTGGTTACAAGCTACCTAAAATGTAATTAAGATAAGGAAAGCCGTCCTTCCTCTCTAGCATGTAAGAGTTTGACCTTTTAGGGTGGTTCGGTAGGGTGTACAAGAGTAATGTTAAAATAGAGTGGATAGTAATGGTTGCACTAATCATGCATAGATTATTTCTAATGCATTTTTTGGTTTGGTGTTACTGAAAACAGCATGCATTGTATATTTTAAAAAAAACAACGTACTTACAAAGATACCCTCCACAAATATGGTGGAAAAGATGAAAAACAGGTTTTGAGGGGCAATTGGGTGTTTGACCATGCAAATCCATTCATCAACCGCCTTGTATAACTAAAACCATGGATTTTCATATATTAGCTATACACTCCTCAATGCACAATAGAATGTATAACTGACGCTTGCATCAGCAAGCATCAGTTATACATGGCATGGAAAGTGTACCAAATAAGGTACTACTAATACACAAAGCTAATGCATGCATTATTTTTGCTAATACACTCTATCAAACCACTCCTTAGATATAATAGGACTATCCAATTTGACGTACTCAGAAGCAAGCTCTGAAGGTTTCTTTTTGGACCTTCTCTTGATTTACAATGTTGCTTAAATGCTATGACTAAAGAATTTACAAGTTTCTTCATTATTATA